GAATTGCTCTAACTGATTGCAAACACACTACATGGCATGCAAGGAATGCAGGATTGAGTTCATTGTATGGCAAAGAATTGTCATGGAATGAATAGAGGAGTAAATTTCCATGCATCTAGGTGATAGGTGGCAGAACACTTGACACACTTGTGCGGATTGCGTAGGAGATAAGGCGTCTTTGCCTATACTATTGCCTATACTTTCACAATGTGCTGAAAACACTTTTCACTGCTTCGAGAGGAGGATCGCGTTCGCACGCATATGCTCATTCGCGTTCACCTTCACCATCATCCCATCTCTTCTCTTCCTCCTTTCTTTCCTTCAATTAGTGTGCGGTTGAAAACTGTTGGTGCACTCGGCAGCCACCTTGTCAGTGAATAGGGACACCATGATGTCGCTTCCACCACCGGATTCGTCTGCCTAGGTGGCCCGTGTTCCTGTCATTGCTGCGTTCAATGAGAATCTGATCCACGTAGAGAAGGCACCAAAGCGAGGGTACCTGGAGGCTTGGATGAAAGTGCACGCAGATGACGCGTTGTATTGCGTGGAGTCGGAGGACAAAGTCGATGTCGATAGGGCTGCAACGGCTTGTGAAGGGAACACGGATTAATGGAGGCGCTTACATATCGTGCCAACATGCTTAATGCGTTGAGCAAGGTGGTTACTCATGCTGCAAGTAGCAGCATTCAGCGGTCGGTAGCATCCGCCTCCACTGTTTATGTCGCAGACTGATGGAGCATCAGCAGAAGCAGCTGTTCCATTTCCTCTCCACTTTGGATCATTATGGCAATCCACGCCAACCTCAAGCAGCTGCAGCCCCTTTCACTCTGCCTTCCACCCGGCAGTAATTCAACGGTGAGTGGAGAGGAGGTTGAGAGAGGGAATGGGATGAAACGAGCGAGTGCCTACGGCTTGCAAAGCTCTCTACTAGCACGGTATTTAGACAACACCAGTTGATGCCATACGAAAATGACAAAATTATTAGTGGGAGCGCTAGTGAGATGCAAACCTTGCTCGGTCAATGAAGTGATGGTTTCATGGTCACGAAACACGCAACTGCTCCAAGGCACATGTGCTCAACATCCTTGTGAGACTAGACTAGAGGAGACGAAATGAGACGAGTCGAGACATGACTGACTCATAATCGGTACATTGACGTATACG